TCAGACCCTCTGGGTCTCACTGACCCTCTGGGTCTCACTGACCCTCTGGGTCTCACTGACCCTCTGGGTTTCACTGACCCTCTGGGTCTCACTGACCCTCTGGGTCTCACTGACCCTCTGGGTCTCACTGACCCTCTGGGTTTCAGACCCTCTGGGTCTCACTGACCCTCTGGGTTTCAGACCCTCTGGGTTTCACTGACCCGACTGGGTCTCACTGACCCTCTGGGTTTCAGACCCTCTGGGTCTCACTGACCCTCTGGGTCTCACTGACCCTCTGGGTCTCACTGACCCTCTGGGTCTCACTGACCCTCTGGGTTTCAGACCCTCTGGGCTAGGACCCTCAGGATTTTATGCCCCTTAGTGCCCTTAACATCGTTTTAAGATGAAGTACTCCCTAATTGGAAACATTGTAGTTGCCATGGTAACGTGAAAATCATATTGTTGTACAAAATGGAAAAATATTTTATGGATTGTATGTAGTTGTGTGCTACTTAACATCCAATAACCCTTCAATTTAATGTAAAATTTATTTTGTTAACATGGGGTATTAAAAACGTTTCAATTTGTTCACGAAGCTAGAGGTGGTAGGACAACTAATCTCTACTGTAGTTTTATACAACTTTTTCAGCTCTTAGCCGGCAATTAATTACCTCATAAATACAGTGAAAATATCTTTGTTTCAGCTCAACCACAAATTCTCATTCAAGCAAAATTTGTTGCAATAAACGCTACTGATATAAACACATAGAAAAGCACCAGGCGGTGGCCGAATCATTGTGACAAGTTAGCAATTTAATCATTAACTAAAAATTATAGCAACTATATTATAGCAATTTTGACCATATTTTAGATAATCAACATATTATAATTATTCTACCTTTAATTATAGTATAATTATTATATTTGCTGTGTTGGTGTTTAGTGTACTCAGCCGAATATGATGCTTGTGATGTTACTCTGAGTGTGTATCCGCAGGCTTGAAAAATATGCCTCATGGCCATGGTGGGAATCGAACCTATGACCTTTGGAATACTAGCCCAATGCTCTGATATACTACACCAACACAGCAAATATCATGATTATTAGATTACACTGATATATCGAAGGAACTAGACTCAGTTCCGAAATATCGCTTACTCGAACCGACCTAACCGCGTAGCTCAGTTGGCAGAGCATTGGGCTAGTATTCCAAAGGTCGTAGGTTCGATTCCCACTGTGGTCAGGCATATTTTTCAAGCTTGCCCGGTGTGGATATACACTCAGAGTAACATCACAAACACAGTATAATTATTGCTAAATTTGGTGTCTACAACCAAAAGCCAGAAAGGATTTCTACAAGCTTGCCCCTATATATATATACCCTTAAATCTTAATTTCTACTTATCCGTAAAATATATCTTAATTCCTTTATATTTATGGCAATTAATTAATTAATAATTAATTAATAAATCAATTGTCACTGTATGATAATTCACATAAAAATAAACAATAATATTGACTTAAATATTTCACAAAATAATGTGAAGAAACTCACACACGCAAAGCAAAGCAAGTACAGCATGCAATTTTACCACTTGAACATTTTATTTTACTTACTCGGATACGCCATTACAAAAGTCTTGTTTTGTTGCCTTTATATTTCGCGCGGTTGTGGACCGCCCAAGCCGACTAAACAGAACATTGAACTCGTTTTAATCCCCACGAATTATCCTCGTTTCTTGACGCGTCCATCAAGTTCTACAAACGTTCCTTTACGAAATTTAAATTCGTATATTAAAAAGTTGTTTTTAAATTTATAAATTAAAAAAAAAACACTTTTCCAAAATGACAGTTAAACTCTGACGTCTTATCAAAAATTCAAAATCATTATTTTTGGCCTATCATGAGCTTGATAGACTCCAGTTACTCCCGGCATCAATAGCGCATGCGCAAAACGCGGTATATGCAAATTTCCTTCTCCTATGCTTGCCCGCCGTTACCTGGATTCTTTAGCCTTAGAAAATTTCGACCAAATTTTGACTCGGAAAATTTCGACCAATCAGTTTTGATTTAGACACTTTCGGCACAGAGAAGAGATAGTACAGAGAAGAGATAGTACAGAGAAGAGATAGTACAGAGAGGAAACACGTAAGGGCAAATTGTGTCACGCCGATATATTCAGTCTATTAACTATAGAAAATTATATTAATTCACTATTTTATTAAATTTTGACCATGCAGAGAAAAGACTATACGTATTATAGAAGTATTCATGTTATTTTTATGCAAGAGTTATATTTTGTGGCATTTATATCATTTGCTGCTTTGTTTTTTTTTTATATATGAGCATCTGAAACCTCCAGCCAGTACTTTTCACGATTTTAATAAGGAGTAGATAGGGGAAAATAAAATGTCATGTTAACACTTTTAATAAAAATGATCGCTTATCGTTATTCTACAATAATTTATTGAACATAATAATTTATGAGACACAATTAACCGACGGGATTCTCATAAAAACTCTAATATGAGCGTGCTTACGAGACAACAAAATATGGTTACGGAGATAGGTTTGGCACAGGAGAATTTTAAAGCGCATTTTGAGATGATTTTTTGAGTACTATTGCATGACAACAAGCGGTATGCAAATGATCCTTAGCCGTGTTTACAGAACACATCTAAAGTGTGTTTTATATGGTTGAAAAACATTTTGGTCTTTAAATAAATAACTGTCATTAAAAGCAGAGAAACAGGTGACTCTTGCATAGTATATTGTGGTATGTGGCAAAACCCCGTCTTAAAAACACAGGGCGACCTATTCATGGTTAGATGCAATCGACGGCGCGGTATTTACACGTGGCTTACACAAAGTATTCACAAACTTCAAAGCTCGCGTGCTCGTATTCAACATGGCGACGTTTGGAGAAGAAATTGATTTTCGCGAAGAAGCAAAGTCGATTATTTCTGATATTAGTTTTGCTGTACAACGGATCGATGTCTCGAGAACGTTGAACAATTCCAAAGATTGTGCTTATATGAATATTATCACTTTGGAGGGCTTGACAATGTGCGTACAACTCAATATACACGGTTTGAAGGTAAGACCCCACTAAGATGTTGAATTTTTTATTCACTATATAAAATATATAATAGTTTTGTTTGTGGGAACAGCACGTAAATTTATTACTGCAAAGCTTTCAATCCGTAAGCCCGGATCTTATGATTTGATTATTATTATTTGATCTTATCTTTTGATTTCCACAAACAAAACTATTATATGTTTTATCGCCATGCAATCATACAAAGAACTAATATCACTATAAATAGTTGGCATTAAATGCTCAGCAATTTGCTAACTTTGTCCTTGATTAATGGATTTGGAATAATTGTATAAAACCAGGCTCTTAAAAAGCTTCTGTGTCTGATTTCAAGACTGCTTGTTTTAAAAATAGACTATAAAATAGACTTCAATGATTTGGTTTCTTGCACTTCACTTGGTGGAATTAATATTAGAATGTTAAGGTTTGTAATCCAAGTAAGAATATATATATTTTAAGACCTAACCAGGAACGACTGCGAAAAATGCAGCACAAGGTCCTCTGGTAGGAATTGAACCTACGGCCCTGCGATTCCGGTGCAGCGCTCTAACCAACTGAGCTACAGAGGCCAGCTGTTGAGCTGTAACCGTAACTTCATGTATATATAGATAATCGGGTTGTGATAAGGTGATTTGGATTCTTGCATTTCATGGAAATTTTCCCAGCTCAACAGCTGGCCTCTGTAGCTCAGTTGGTTGCACCGGAATCGCAGGGCCGTAGGTTGAATTACCTTGTGCTGCATTTTTCACAGTCGTTCCTGGTTAGATCTTAAAATGTATACATTCTCACTTGGATTACAAACCTTAACATTCTAATATACAATAGACTGTAAGGCAATGTATTTGCAACAACGATTAGGCAATTACTGCGAACCCAAATTATTCATATAGTTTTGTTCTGCCCTACTGATTTCTTTTGAAAGCGATTGTTTTTACAATATGTAAACACGAATATGTGAATATGCGCACACACCCCCTCCAATTATCGCGTCTAGTTACGGTCGGTCCTGGCTGTAAGAGTGCTTTTTCAATTCTTCCATATTTTATGCCTAGGTTGTCGGCAATGAAATTGATGTAAATACGGAAAATACGGGTCAGAAAAGTTACGAATCAATTTACTCGCTACTGGATTCTTTGAGCCCAGCTTATGTACAGAAATTTGGGGAAAAACTTGCAGTTAAGCTTGCCAACTTACAACAGTAAAATGTAAGTGTGATTTTGATTTGGAAAAGGTTAATGGTTGTCTCAACATTTTCTGATAATTCAGCTGTATATACTCAACTAGTACTCGTCTGGTATTAACAAAACAAGCAGGTGGACAAGGTGTAAATAAATCTTGGACAAGGTGTAAATAAATCTTGGGCAAGCTGTCACAAAACTCAGAGATTCTAATTGCTGGCTAGCTACAGTAATTGCATGTTTAGAACTCAGCACTGTATCACAGAATAAGTCCATCTCCATTGTTGTTTTGCGTAAGCGTTATTCGTCATGATTCGTCACTCAGCATTAATACCGTAAACAGAAGCAGTCACCCCCTTGGACGTGCACCATTTTTAGTATTTCCAGTTGGGGATTGCTTCTGTTTACGGTACTTGCTGAGTGACGAATCATGACGAATAGAGCTTACGCTAAAAACAATGGAGATGAACTTGTAGTATTCTGTGACTGTATTGTGTAGAATATTAGCAAACCCCTGAGGCTCTTGGAAGTGGAAAAGATTACACATTCTGGCTATAACATTGGACTGGACTCGATATACCGGTACATTTCAAATACCAGTATGGCAATACAAGTAATGCCATTTAAAAATACCAGTATACCAACATGTTGGTATTTTGCTCAAAATTTTACCATGTAAGTCATTTAACCCATTGAGCCTCAATGCACCCTACTTATTTGTTTTACCTTTCTAACGCCAGACGATTTTATTCGTCAGTGGGGAAGCTCTGCAGCTTAATGGGTTAACAAAAAAATCTGACAATGTCTCTAGTTAACCCATTGAGCCGCAATGCACCTTGGCTTTTTTACTTGTCTAACCCCAGACAATTTTACTCGTCAGTGGGGAAGCTCTGCAGCTTAATGGGTTAATAAACTTTAACATCTGTATGATGATAAACCACAATTAACATGCAGTCATAAATCAATGTCAAACATAATGTTTAGGTGCTTCATAATACCAAAATATTATTTATTTATTATAATATTTGTGTGAAAGTGGTGATGGTCAATGCAATTAATAGAGAGTTTAGTCTTAATTAAGACTAAAACTTAAAACCATTGAGCAACATTGCACCTCACTTTATTATTTTACTCTGTCTAACACCAGACAATTTTATTCATCAGGGGGAGAGCACTGGGGTTAAACAATAGATGTGGCAAAATTACCAATACATATATACTGGTGTGATTAGGACAAAGATAATAATTATTATTAACTTGTTAGGTTGCATTGCACTCCAATGTTGCCCATCTTCTCAGATGATTTCACTTTCTAATGCCAGATTTTTACTCGAAGGCCAGACGATTTTTACTTGTCAAGGGGAGAGTGTTGGCATTCAATAATGGGTTAAAATAATTCACACAGACTCCAAAACAATTTTTTGATAAAAACATTGAGTGACATCAAACATATCCAGTTTCCAAAATATATTTTGCATACAATTTATTGGACAGGACACTTAATCATTACATAAATATCAACTTCATCTACATTAATGTCTTTTTCAAAACAGTGAGTGTGCATATAATTGGAGTTGTAAATCTTGTGCATTAAATTTGTGCATTGCAAAATAAATAAGACATGCAGCGCTTTTTACAAAAGCAAATAAATGAATTCAAACTCCATTTACATGTAACCACAGTTAGGGCGCTTTCCATTAACACGGCCAGACCGGTCAAATTGTTGAATGGAATACAAAACGTTTAGGCTTCGGACCTATCTGACCGGAAGATTTAGATAAAATTAGAATGAGGACCATTTTCACTAGATATTTGAGAAACGTAGACCAAATCTTTCCATTGATACAGAGACTAAAATTTGGGTCTGATCGGTCAGGCCATTAAATGGAAAGTGCCCTTAGTAGATGTAACATAGCTTAGGGGCAGCAAGCCATTACAAAAGTGGATTTGGGGGAGGGGATAAAAATTTGTGCAAAGGAAAAGAGAAAAATCCAGCACAAGCAGATAGCTGTTGTGCAAGCTGAAAATCCCCACATCACTTTTCTAACAGACAGATCTGGCTAACGTTGTTTACATTGTTGCGAACCAACTTATAATTTTAGTTACAGTAACTTGCATGTCTAGTGACTGTCGTTCTAGTTTACAGAAGCGTAGTTCTAATAGAACAATGGTAACTACAAGAACTAGTATTATGTATAATAGTCATTGGTTCACATAGACAATTCTTAAGCTTGTATTTTATGCTTCTGTAAATCAGAACAATATTTAACTAGCCATGCGAGTCATCTAAAATTATGTATAAACAAACTTTAGCTAAATTTGTTTGTCTGCCCATAACTTGCCTAAACCACAGTTTTTAATCAAAATCAATGTCATAACAGACTGTTGCCATAATAAGTTCAAATGTCAAACAATGTACATTTTTCAAGCATTTTCATTGGTCAAACAAAGTTTTCTTGAGACGTTTTCATTGGCTATTGTATCAATAGTGCTTGAAGGTGTCTCCCTCTGTGCTTGTTCAGTCATCAACATACACGGTCGCTTTCCTGCGGGGGGTTGCTGACATGGGGTTACAGGGAAGACCTCTGGTGTTAAGCTTGTTGGTTGGATAAACGGCTGTGGGGTTTGGCTGCGCATACACGCATTGGGGCTAGGTATCTTTGAATGTGGGACCACAAGACCGGGGGTGTAGGTTAGACCTGAATCAAGGGGGGTGGGGGAGGGATTAACAGAGGCAGGACAGGAGTTGCTTTGGTGGTTTCGAAGAGGTGGGGTCATGGTGGATGTTGGAACGTGACTAACACCATACAATAGATTTCCTTGGGGTAGCACCGTGCCATTACCCGATGCATTTGGTGATGGGGGGAAGAATAATTTGGGACTGTTGAAAGGGGGAATTGGCGATGAGCTGCAACTCTGGGAAGCGGGGTATGGGGAGATACTTCTTAGGAGAATACAATTACCTTGACTTTGAAAAGGGCCCATGCTGGCTTGGTTAGGTAGCTCTGGGGTAGAGGGTGGGGCAGGTGGAATGTTACTGGGTGAGGCTGCGGGTGGTTTCCATGGCGATGGAATGCGATGGTGTAAGAAAACCAGTGGTTTAAGTGGGCTGATGTCTTTGATGAGACTCGCTTGGATGGCAATCGAGTTACGGGGTGCAAGCTTCCCGGGGGGTATAGGAGATACAGCTTGATCAACTAGTCGTACCATTGGGCTGGTCCGTCCGTCCAGTCCTGTGAAACGGCCCACCACATGTTGCCATTGACAACTGCTTCGCTGATGCGGCTCTCTCATACACATCCCTTGTTGCGATATTTCACCAAGAACTGGCCTACTGCTGACCATGTTTGCAGGCACAGGATTTGGGGCTTGGTTCTCGGACTTTACATAGGCGCATGATGACATCACTTTGAATGGGGAATTGGTCGAATGCATGAATTTACTTTCATTGTCTACCTTGTTCGGCTCCTCATTTTCATTGTTTGCTGTGACGGCATCTGTAAAATATCAAACCCAATAAAAAGTTTATCATTAATTGAATCACCAATTTAGCCCTACTGGAGATGCGTACTTAAGCACGGCTCAATTTCGTACTGAAAATGCCAAGAAACAGCCTTAAATGTAACACTGCTAGTTAGAACAAATCACGGTTATTAGAGAGCTGTAGAAACTTCATCAGAACTGAGTTGAGAGTGACCAATCGTGCATTAACACTTATCATACACATATATATAATTGATAAAATCTTCGAATATGGCGATATTTGAATTAACCATTTCCCAAAGTCCTGAGTCTAGTCGCGTTTGGAGGGTCAAGAAACACCGACGCCGGAACGATGTAAAGGCAAGGGGGGCAGATTTTCGTGAAAGGGCACTTTTGAATTGATATATACTAAGAGATGTTTGCAAAACATCGGGAGTTGAACGTCGCCTAATCATGTTTTCTATTTATTGGATGATAGGGGTGTGAGGGAGTTCTCCGCCAGGCGATTGCGCTATTCTTGAAGCTCGATGCCTGCATTTCTTGCATTTTCTGAAGCAAATTCGTAAAAGAATTGCACTATCCTGACAATTCGCTATTTCGCCAAGGCACCTTTGCCCCCCCTGGTAAAGGGCAACGGGGGCGGCTGCCCCCCCCTGACAAGAAATATGGCAGCAGACATTTAAATTAAATGTTCAATGTAAAAAGGAGATATTTCACTTTAGGTCGTGTTAAAAGTTAATATTTGATAGTAGATACTTCAAATCTTTCAATTTTTTATCGCCTGTCACCATATTTTTTGTCCCTCCAAATAATCCCAGAATGCACTGTGATCTCTTTTGGGAAAAGGCTAATTGATACGTTCAGGTCAACCAGCTGTGCGAGAACCAAATTTGAATAAAAAATATACTTTAAACTTAGAATATATTGTATAAAATAAGTTGTTGTACTACAATACCGATATTATCGGCAACAAAAACACCGATATCTTGAATATAGGGCCGATAAACACGAAATGAGTACATAACAGAGGCCGTTACCTTCCACGGATTGTGGGTTTGTATTTTTACAACCGTCAGCCAGTACTGGATGAAATTCTCCTTCAGAGTTCTTGCGTAGCCTTTTGGCACTGAGTTCGTCGCTGTTGGCATTCTTGTTTTTAGTGAAAAGATTGCGTCTGCTTGTTTTGTTGCCGTCTGGGCAAGACGATGGTTGATACGGCGGTAGCACTGCTAACAGCTGCGACATGCGTGGATAGGGTTAAGAAATTTTACACAAATCTAAGTTAGGGACTGGTCATAAAGTAACTGCTAGGGTGGGCTGGAGGTAAATCACAAATTTTGCCGATACGTTCGGTGACCCACCTTAGGATGTAGACAAAAATTACAAAGCCCATCTAATCTTACAAAACATTTTTCATGACCCACCCAATCTAAATTAGGAAAATACAATTTTGTAATAAAAAAAACTTGCAGGTATGAACATTGTAAATATACACGACAATGTATTGACATATATAATTCCACCAAGCTTGACCAACACATTGATACTGAGCTGCTCTCCAGTTGGTTGTATTTGCTGTGATTCAACCACTTCTTGCATTTGATAATTTGGATAGTTTTGTTTACTTTTATTATTATACATTGTAGTTGGTAAAAGCAATTTGATTGGCTAAGAGCTAACAGTTAAATCGCGCAATCACGCAACCTACACAAAATTCAGTTATCTGCTAGCAGATAACTCAGTTATCTGCTAGCAGATAACTGAATTTTGTGTTAGGTTGCGTGAAATTGAATGATTGTACATTTCAAATGAGTGTACATTTCAATTTTCAAATGAATGTACATTTCATAATTGTAATGTTTACTT